TATAAAAGTGATCCTTGTAACCAAAAACATTTGTACCCCTGTAATACTTTCAAATGAAAAACAAAGACTTTAATGGATTAGATGTGTTGTATTGCAACAGCTTCTGTTTCTGTTCACTTTCTGTTACTTTCCATATGGAATTTGAGACAGAGGTAGGATTATCTATAAAGTAGTCCACAATGAATGGACAAATGAAATTTGGTTTTAAATGAAATGATAGAAATCTATTCCATTTTTAGGAAAAAGCAGTAAAGAATGAGTACCTGATTTGGCTTATATATTTTATTGTTTCTCATATTCTAAATAAATTAATGTATTGCTTTCCATAGAAGCTCACCAAATGTATTAGGATCCTTATTTCTTTTAAAAATGTACTACTTATAAGAAATATTGACAATGGTTTTCTTAGCTTGGTCATAATGTAAGTCAAAATTCTCCTTCTCTGGAAGTCACTGCTATAAAAAGAGTGTGCAGAAGAACTTGGCAAAAACTGTAACACATGTGTGCACATACTTCATCATATGGAGCACATGGAGATTTTTCACTGTTGAAACTTAGTGGTTATTTCCAAGGAGTGGGATTAAGGAGAGACTTTTTCTAATCTTTCTAATATTTGCACTTTTTGTGAATAGTATTTATTACTTTAAAAATTACAATTAATGATGACATGTGTATGCCAGCTTGGAACAGCTCACACTGATGGCTCAGGTCTTAGACCTTCTTTTTGCATAACTTGGCAGTTCCATTACTTCCCCTCTCCCCTTTCCTCCCTCTGAGGCAAAGTGTGGGCTCACGGTCCCTGCTCACTGCCACCAAGCCAGGACGCATCAATTCACCATCACCTGCAATGACCCGTCACCCTCTACATCATGTCTGCATTTATAGACGCCCTTTGTGCCTCACGGTGTCTCACTTAGGGACGTGTTGCTATATACGCTTATAAATTATTTCACCATTATACAAATATTTTGTCATTTGATTTGCAAATTCCTTAAAGTCTGAAAACCGTAGTGAGAATAATCATAGTAAAGTATAAACCAGATGATGTCCCTTTGTTCAAACACCTTTAATGTTTTATCATTTTGCTTGAGTAAGAAAACCAAATAATGTAAACATTATTTACAGGTATACAATCTCTAATCTGAAAACTTTGGTATGGAGCTATCTTTGGTATTTAGAATTCAGCAGATTTTAGAGAGTTAACGCAATGCCTAGAACATACTTTCTACTATGCACATCCCTACTGGAGCTCTCAGGCAGCATGAGAGATAGTCATACGTCGTAATGTTCATAGCACACGGAGGAATAATTAAAGACTACAAATAGTCTCACATCAAATCAGGTCTAGTTTTACTTTAAAATGTTTTTCTTTTAACAAGTTAATGGGGGGGGGCTTTTGGTTGTCAAAACTTTTAGGATTTTGTAATTGTGAGCAAAGGTTTTGGACTTTTGTGGGTATTATAGCCTACAGATCGCTGCAACACCAGGCTGCCAGTGCCCGCCTGAGGTCACCCCACCCTTGCTCTCTGGTCTCTCTCGTGTTTTATTTTTCTTCGTAGCACTCATCACCATCAAACAGCTCATAGATAAATATATAGGATACAGTTGTTATTTATTTTTTATTCTCTACTTACCTCTACTAAATATGCCTTCCTTGAAGGCAGGAACCGATGCTGCTGTATCCAAAGTGTTCAGAATTGCCAACAAGTATTTGTGTGGCCTTGGACACATTTTAATTATTTTTGTGATCGCTCTGTATTGGGTTATACATATTAAATAGTAAGGACTGGTTTGACACATAGCAATGGTTAATATGTAGTATTTTAACAGATTTGTTATACAGAAGTCCCTCCTTATCCACGGTTCCTGTGGTTTCAGTTACCTGGTGTGCAGCACAGTAAGGTACTCAGAGAAAGTGCCAGAGAGAGATAGAGCAGTCACATAACTTTCAATACAGTATAATGTTATAAGTGTTCTATTTTATTATTATTTTTGTTAATCTCTTACTGTACGCAATTTATAAATTCAACCTTTTCAGAGCTATGTTTGGTGAATCTGTGGTTTCAGGCATCCTCTGGGAGTTTTGGAACTTATCCCCAAAGACAAAAGGGGGCTCATAAAAACCGAGATTTTTAAAAATGACATTTCTGAAACCCTTACTGAAATGAAACACTTTCAGGTGGTCATGGCAGATTGACAGCATTGCCCTTATGCTCTAAAACATAACAACATGACACAAGCAGCCACCTGGCATGCGTCCTCGAATGATTGCTCAGGTGACGTGCCCAGGCCTGAATTCTGATTTGCAGTTATTTCCTTCTGCTCTGTCTTCTGGAATTGTAAGTTCTAAAATCTGTTCGTAGGGAAAAATAGGCAGGAACTGAGATGCTGCTGCCCGGATGTGGGATTGGAGGTGTGTGTAAAACTAAGGTATGTGTAAAGAAATACAGGGTGGCAGTGAAGTATCTGCACGTCAAATGTTGATGTGTCCTGTCTCTGCAGCCCTGGGCTGGGTGTCTTCAGTCCTTCAGCCCCCAACTCGATGTGCCGGTCTCGTCTGGGGTTCTGAAGGTCCAGTGGTTAATGAGGCAGGCAAGATCTCTAACGTTACAGATCATTTCAGGTACTCATAAGTGCTAAGCAGAAAAAGAAGGCAGGAGATGGTGATGGAATATGTGTGTATGTGTGTGTGTGCCCCTGCTCACTGTGGCATTGTTTAAGGGATGGTGACATAGAAAGGTAGGTGGAAAAAATAATCACGACTGTTTGCGTAACTTACATCTCAAATACACATCACTGCTCTACTTCACCCAGTTAGGACTGCGTTACTAAGGGGAATCACACACACACATACTCACACACACTTCTTCTTTTTAGTCGGGTCTTTGGAAATATGGCCTTGAGCCTTTGAAAGTTGTAAAACTCACACTTCAATTCATGTGTAATCCTGGCATCTATTTCCAATTCCTACAAGTCTTACTGGTTTGCTCTCCCAAGTGCCTTTTAAGAATCCTGGCAAGAGGGAAAATATTATTTCCTCACAGAGTGTGTGTGTGTGTGTGTGTGTGTTACTCTGAGTAGATCCTCTTCTTTCAGGATTTACTCTGAAACATTATTTCTTTATTTTTTTTTTAACTTTGTATACGTCTCAGAACTTTCTTCAGTGTCTAAAACACAGTATTTTCTCAGTAAACATTTCTTCAATGGAACGGAATTCATGTTTTGAAGGTTGGGTTTTGCAGGTCAGGGGTCACTGGGATTTCCTATTGTTTTTTTATAAAGAGATCTTAATAATATTTTGCTTCCTTTGAAATTATTACAGTTGTACAAAGTAGCACTTCTAGAGTGTGCCAGGCTTCAGAGGTTTAGAAGCTAAAAGAAATGCCCCGTGGGAAGCCTGACTTCTTGCTCATTTACTTCTGTTAACTGATACACCTGCCCCCACATTTGGGAATGCCCAGGGCGCCACCCACACTGTCTGGAGTTCGGCAGTCATCTTATTCTGCTTTGGTGGAATCATGACCATTTTCAAAGATGGGCACAGCAGGGGTGAATCTGGGGCTCACACTTTTGTTTTTTATATTTTGAGAGAAGTTCACATAGAAGCGCTGAAAACGCTCTGCTCAGAGAATCAATCCCTTTACCTTAAGCATACATCCTGACGGTGACTTCTTCATGTATTTATGAAATAAACATTAAAGTTACTTAACAGTTTATTCAGGGACTGAATAGTTTTATTCATAAAATTAGGAAATTATCAGATTCTTTTATATAACTCTTTCAAATTCTCTATGGCAAAAAATTTGGAAGGGGGTCTCTGGTTATGTGCATCAGACTTTACACTTTATTTCAAAGATTAAAAATTTTTCCTTGAATACCAACCAATTGGACCAAAAAACATGCCTGCTTATTCCTGGAATGATGGCGTCCCCTTGTATTTTGTCCTTAGCCTTCCTACCCCGTGGGCCATATCATATGCTATCTAAATTTAAATCCTACTATCTATGCTAATGGTGCCCATTTTCTGGATCCATGTGGCTTCTGCCAGCGCTGGGGTCCCTCCTCCTCTCTCTTTCTTTCCATCCAGGATAGACCCAGGGACTGGTTACCTGAATTACTCTCTCACAAACCCCTTTGATTCTCATGCATGTCTATGCATCCAGTACCTGCAAAGTCCTAATCCTGGACTGTGCCACAGTCCACTGTCTCCAATCCCACATCCGGGCAGCTGCCCTACTGCGGAGTGATCACGTGAACTTAGAGATACCAACCATGACAGAAGTGTGGGCCCCAATTTGACTAGTCACTGAAACATCCCCACTTCCCAATCTTTTCAATGAATTATTTCAATACTGTGCCACCTTTCTCATATACCCTGCTCAGTTCTTTTCTTCTATCAGCTAATGACCTCTTGATTTATTGAGAAAATTGTGCCCACCATAACTTCGTTATAAACTCTCAGTATAACTTGTCCCTTTACCTATAAGCCACCTCTATGCAGACCAATCTTACCGTCTTTTCCCTGGACTCAGACGATGTACCCATCCACCCTCTCCAGGGCTTCCTAAATCTCCTCATTGCCCCACCTCCACCTCCAAACTCACCTTCTCTAATGTTCCTTCTCAAGGACCTGTGATGGTGCTCAAGTCCCTCTCATTTTATAATGTCCGTTGACTGTGGGGTCCCATTATTTAGTCTCTATGTTTTCTGATCCAAACTTTACTTTGCTTTCTTACTTTAATTTTTAGTTCTCTGAAATCTGATCTCTTCACTCACCACCATGTTGAAAACTTCCTTTATTAAGGCAACACTTACATATGCTTTAATTTTCCAACCCCAATCATCATTTTTCGTCATCATGTTACTAGGTTGGACATTAGAAATAAAAATGCATGCATTATATGATTGTTGCATGGCTTTGACTTTTAACGAGGGTTTATTTTATATTAGAAGATTCACAACAATTTAAATATCTCTATAATTTGATGGTTTTTATTTAGGTTTGCAAAGATGCAAAACAACAAGGTCTGCACAACATAAAATGGTAAGGTCGAATACAACAAAAACTACAAATCTAACCAGTCCAGGAATACCTGAACATGGACTCTACAGAATTTTCGGAGAGGCTACTATCATTTTTGAAAAGAAGAATGATAAGTAATAAAATGGCTTTGCTCTATTGAGAGTGGTCTTGTTTCAGGAATCCAGAGACTCTAAACGTGTCATAGTTTTGATTTTCCTCCTACCCCTTCACCTTTCTTCCTTAAGTGCTTGTAATTTATCCAAGTTCATATCATACTGGTTATCATAGTTGCAGAAAAGAAAAATTCTTTGGCCTAAAATATTTGGTGGTTCTCTTATCTTTGAGCAAACGGAAAAGGCTACAGTTTGGAGTAAAATTCTGCCGTCTAGGTGGTTTCATTGAAAAATTCAGTAATTGTCACCCATATAATATCTGTAAAACCTCTCTTTCCATTGCCAATCTTTCAACATATTTGAAATTGTAAATATTTGGAGTTTTTATATAATTCCAAGCCATAGCCCATTTATTTGTTTTTACACTGACTCTTCTTATGTACATAACATGAATGGCAGTCAAATAAAGTTCCCTTATTCTACAAACATTCTCTTAAGGTGGTGTTTTCCATAAGCTTCATTTTTATTTTAAAATGTTTTCTAAGTAGTTAAATTATTCATGAAGTTCTTTTTATTGCTATCTCACTACTTAAAAATGAAGATATTTTCACTACTTAAAATGAAAATATTTTAACTTCCATAATTACTTATCGCTTATATTTCTTCACAAAGAGAAACTGAAGTCTTTCTACTTTCACAACTGAATTCATGATAGGCTTATCTTGAGATTAAAAAAAAAAAGGAGCCAGTAAGTTTGAAATATCTATCCAGGGTGCCTTGGCACTGTGGCGTGTTGTCTCGTGGCTTAAAAGTGTGCAGAAAAACTGATGTCTTTAGCCTGAGGAAAGTAGGGTGGGCTGCCAGCCAAGGACAGTTTTCTCGATTGCATCAGTGCCCAAAGAAATGTTACCATTTCCTTTCTGTACTACAATATGAAGACAATCAGAAAAAACCACTTTATAGTAAAGCAGAGCTTATCTTTAGGACTGTTATTGAGAAAAACAAAATCTTGATATTCTTTCTTACATTCCTACAGAAATAATAAAATACAAATTCTTTTTTATTAGACGCTAAGAAATCAAAATTGTTTTTAATGGCTATTAACTGGTAAGAAAAGGCTGTATATCTATGTGTATAAGCAGTTTGATGTTCAATATAATTAATCTCACTTTTAGCAATAATTATATTGATTGCTTTCTTTGAATAATACATTGCATAATGATGGTCTATTGTTTAGCCAGCTTATAAGTAAACACAGATTTGAAAGTGTGTTCATACACATACACTGGCTTAATTAATTCTAGTAAAAAAAAATCACATAGATTCAGGCCAAATTACTTTTTTACTTATGATAATGTCAAACAGTTTGAGTCTATGCTTTGTAGTCATTATTATATTTTTGTGTTTCAATTATTAACATTATCCAACAGAGCAATCTTGTGCAAAATAAAATTTCTAAATAGGCCTTTTTTATTTTTATGGATCAAAGCGTATTCAATGTTTATTGCAACAAACTCGTTTTATTGATTTATTTATGTTTTTATTAAATATTTACTGAGTGCCTCCTCTGGGCCGGATGCAGTGAGATGGCAGAGCAATGGAAAGCCAAGATGGGCTTCTTCCCCAGCTCCAAATGTTCGCTGTGGAGTTCTCCTTTTTGTAATTATATATGCTAAAGTACCTGGCCTAAAGAATTAGAACTTAGGCTGTTTCCTGTAGAGAAGGAAACAAATTAATTTACTAAGAAACAGAGAGAATTTGTTACTGATTCATTGAGCAGAGTATCAATCAGACTCCTGCTGCATTAGTGTTAGAGCCTAGGAATGTTAGCATTTTCAGTCCACAAAACACCATTTTGGAAACTATTATAAAGTAACAATAATTCAGCTGAAAGCCAAAATATCTGAAAATTCTCATTTTTTTATATTTTAGAAATATTTAAAAAATATTTCCTAGTTTCACCTTAGACCAAGTAGAGGGCTTTTATCTGATGATAGGTAATTTTTACTGTAAGAATTACTAAAGTAGCTTATGAGACTTGTAAGAAAAAAAACCCCTGAGTTATTTTAGAATGTTAGATGTGTTAATAAATGGTAATTTGTCACTATATCACAGCCATTCTTTAAGAATTTTAGTAACTTCTATATTGGAAAAATTTAAACTCTTTCTGAGATAAACTTTTGTCCTTATCAAATATACCTGAGTATTCATACCTATTAATTATCTCAGTTCATAGAACTGATGCTCCAGTTACTTTCATAAAAAAAAAAATTACACACCTCATTTTATCATCATAATAAATGTATTAATATTATCATTGCTATTTACTTCTTTTTGGCTTTAAATTTCATTAAGTAATACCATGATATTAAAAATTGATTACAGAGGGAAGAAAGCAAATACATGTGGTTTGGCTAATTCACCAATGTCAAAGTTTCCTTTCGTCCTGGGGGCGGGGTGAGGGAGAGGGTGTGTGGAGGGGGGACAGGGTGGTGTTAGGAAAATAAAGTCTCTGTCTTTCTTGGAGATGGGGTATTATTTTATGAATCCAATTTCGTATCTGTCTTGCCATCTGTCACTAGACCGAAGAGATATAGGACAGTGGCAAACTCCTGTTGAAAAGGCCGCCTTGGGATAACAAAGAGAAAAGTTAATGGACATGGATTTACAAATTATTAATGATTTTTCTTGTCATTTTTTGAAAAATGAAAGCTATGCACGCTGCCTCTCTCCCCAAACAGATTGCATTTTATTCCTCTGCAGTTTGTCCATCAGCCTTCACTCTGACAACATAATCCGGAACTAATCCAGAGCATTCAGTTTTCCTTGTTGGCTCTCAGGCAGCCTGCTTAGACAAATCCTGCTACCTGTCAGCCCTCCTGTGGGTGCCAAACCGGCTGCCAGGTTAACCTCTGGGGAAGCAGGGAGACCTGCTGATTTAACCCCTGCTTCCCTTCCCCTAATCCACCGTAAATAGGGAGGATGTGAACAGGCTAACTGTTTTAATCAGGCCCGGATCCCTTAAAATCTGTTTCATACACAGCTTTAAGAACTCAGGTTATGAACATCCCTACATAAAATCACACGCTAGTTCCTTCAAAATGTGGGCCCCTGAAGAAGCAGATGCATCAGATACACTGAAAGGTTTTAATCCTCTAAAGTAGTCTGTGAAAATATATCACCTCTTCTCTGAGCCGCATCATGGCTTATAAATACTTCCTAATTGTCAGGATGAGGTCAAAACCAATTTAGGGGCAAAAAAGGAGGAAAAGAAAGTACCAATTTGATTATTAGAAAACTCATGCTTGGTTAATTTCCAATATGACTGCCATCATTTACCTTCTCATCATCCCCTGCCTCCCCCAATACATATCTATGCACACACGTTAATTCTTATTGCATGACAGTGAATTTGAATATTGTTTACAGATAAGTCTCAAATGACTCCAATAAGAGCAAACAACTAAAAGTTTTCAAACGAGTAAACATAAATTAATGTTGCACAGCATTTAAATGACTCCCATTGATCAAGCATAAAAATGGAGCACATGAAGGTAAAATACCTCTTAAAAATACTCACTCTTTGTTCAAAAAGAACAACACAATGCCTCCTCCCTGCTGGAATTCAAGGCACTTCGGTCTATCTGCTCCTGCAGCACCAACTCTCCACAGCGCAAAACAGCTTGCACGAGCACGGCGTTCCAAGGCACCCTTAAAAGTTTCCCTAAGTTTAGCTTCCTGAGAAATGTCACGAAAATTCACTCAGCTCTTTCAACGCTGGGAAGGTAAGGTATCCAGGTTCACAGGGGAGGAGGTTAGCTTAGACTGGTCCCTGGGGAAGGACTCCGAACTCTACCACAAACAAGTGGTGGGACTCACTACGACTTCTAATGAGGCTCTTTAGTTTTCCCCCATTTAATTGCAGGCTTTTCTTTAAGAGTGAGAAGGGCAAGGTTTGCCCCCTCCCTCATACCCTCCCACAGAGCAGAAGATGAAAAATGAGGAATGTTCTTTATGCAAAACAAATACCCAGATGTGGGTTAATGAAGTGGGTGCACTTGTACCCACATACACTCAAACCCTCTTCACAATCACCAGATGGTTTCGCACCTAACCAATTTTGAGATTAAAAACATCATTCTTATTAATTACTGTGGCGATGACTGTATTTCTGTATAAATAATTATATCTTAATTTTATGCAATAGAAATAAAAATAAGAATTTTATTTCTTGAATACACAATATTCTTATTAATTTTTTCCTACTTCCCAGGTAATAAATGTTTATGCTTATTTGAAAATGGAGTTTTAATTTATTTTTTTCAAACTTTTTTCGGTTTGCTTTCGTAGCATCCTTCTCACCTTTCTCCCTTTCTCTTTCCATGGTCCATGTTCTTTCTTTTCTTTTATTCCTTTTAGTTCCTGTGTGTTTTATTGGAGGCAAAGCTTACTACGCTGTCAGACAGTAATTCATCATGAAGCAGCTGAACTTCATGGTTAAGGTGAGAACAGAGGTTAATTGTCAAACAATACCATGTAAAGTTTATTTTAAAGCAGACCAATTTGTTTATGTTCTGTTTGATAGCTAAGCAGTTCTTAAAGTGAAATTTAGAAGTAAAATTTAAAATTAGAAAGATAAGATGAAATTTACAAATTCAATCCCTGGAATAAAAAGTTTTAAAGTCTTCTATAAGATTATATTGATTGCTATTCAAATAAAGACAATTTTGTTACAGCAATGACTATAAATTCTGTGATAAGATGCATTGGGGCTATAGTGTTAGGGTTTAGCAAGGATGATATCAGAGTCACCCATTAGGAGACAGAGGCCAGGAAATAAGGACTTGGGTAGAGGGAGGTGGGCAGATGATGTGGGGGTAGTTGATTTGGGATGCAGCTCAGAGGGGGAAAACTGTCATGCGAGAGAGGATAGAGTGAATTTGGGGGGAGAAAAGCAACTTAAAGAATCCGTGTAAATGAGTTTAGAAGAGAAGGGAAATGGAGAATAAAATGAGAAAGAAGAGGAAAGAAAGAAGTCAGTGCCAATAGGTTTATATATGAACATAGCACATGTGACTGAAAATAATCACAAAACTTCCAGAAAATAGTGTTACTCAGTAATGCGATCTTTGTGCTACATTGAAAACTTTTAAGAATACGGATCATTAGGAATTTTAAAGACACATACATATAAAATACAAGGAAAATCTCTTAATATTTAGGTTATTTAGTATGAAATGCCCAATTTCCTTGAGTACTAAGTTAGACAGTTGATATCTCTGACATTTCACTTTACCACTTTTGTTCTATTTTTATTGTGAATGTACATCCCCATTCTTTCAAATGCATGGTTTGGCTTGTGATTATCTTTCACATTTTTTTAAGAGCAATTTTTGTGAAACCATGGATATTTCTGAATATGAG